AGATTCAAGCAAAGAAATTCAATGAAGCACAAAGTGATAAATATACATTGGTAAATATCATCCTGCCACCATATAAAAAGGTGTAAACATGAAACTCTCATTGTAGTGAATGGTTAATCTTGGCCAAATTTCCCAGGTTTCAACCTTGTCACTACCACTCATGAACCATCAAACATTGGGAAAGTTACTTAAACCTTTGTGTCCCAGTTTTTTCATGTTAAAAATGAGTACACAATAATAACACATCTCTCACGGGATCATAAGGATTAAGTGAGTAAGTACATATAAAGCACATGAACAGTGCCTGGCACTTAGTAAAGGCTCAAGAAGCATTATGGATTATCATTATTGCCAATATGCAGGACTGGTATTTTATTAGTATGCATTGGCATGGCCATACTTGTAGTTTATTGATGTCTTTCATTCTGATAGGTTGGTGTTTATCTGGTGTCAAACCATCAAGCAGTTTCTAAGCAGCAGAGTGGTGGCATCTGCTTCGTTGACTTTTCACACTTCAATTGCTTTGGCTGGTGAGAAGATAATGAGCCCAAATGGCTTTAGAAAGGAGGCAGCATGAGCTTTATGTTTGCAACAATTCCTCTAGTCTCTCAAGTCCCATGGTGGCAATGTGGAGGCAGACACAGGAAGATCATGCACACACTGTGAGTCTGTCACAGCTGAGGAACACTGACCTTAAGATACCACAATCTTATTAAAGGCTGTTGGCAGCCTGCCCATCCTCCTCTCCAGAGAGAGACATTATCTTTGTTATCATGGAAGGTAAGCAGATATTCTCCATGGTGGGGAAGATGTCTCTATTTCTACTATCATATTTTTTTTGACAGAGAGATTTCTTAAATATTGCACAGTCATTTTGTTACAAATGAAATAGATCATCTGAAAAATGAGCACAACAGTAAAATTCACTTAATAATCACAATTTTCAATTTTACCTCTAGGATGAGTTTTAGGGATCTCTAGGCCTAAACATGGAATACTAGATTAAGGCTCTTTCAGAATAACTAAACTAAACTTAAATAACTAGAGGAATTTAAAAATATTTTAAATTACTTTTGTTAATTTAACAGATGAAATGTGGCACATTTACTTGTAATTTGCATTTATCTGAGTATGAGTTTGAGCTATTTTTCATGTATTTGTTTAGACTCATTTTCTCTTTTGTAATTCAGCTTTTTATACGGTTTGTAATAATCTGATTACTTTAAGTAGAGTGAATGAAACTTCCATCAAAATGTTAACCCTTTATAGATCATCATTTGTTGCTTTACTTTCTTCAAATTTCCTTTTTTCCTTGAATTTTATTTGTGTCATTGGTTGAAAAGAAATTTAAAGCCTTTAGAGTACCAACTTATTTTCCTTTGTGATTTCTTTCACTGATTTTTTAAGCTTGTTAAACTCTTTATCACTGACAAATCACTTTTATTTATATTTTCTTAGAGATATTTATCAATTTTATTCATATATTTTTTCTAGTATTCACTTGTGGTTTAAATGTGTTTTATTCATTATTCTTCAATAGACATGGCAGCTATATTTTATGTATTGTGAAATAAATACAAATTTATTTTTATATTCTGAAATATTTAACTAATCTCAGAATTATGAATTCACTATTTTTATCAATAATTTGTATTACTATAGATGATTCTTTTATGAAAAATTTTACTTTTCATCTGAAATAAATTTTTGTTCTATTTTTTAGCCTTTGCACAATTTCCTCATAGTTTAAATTATTGTATGAGTTGAATAACTAGAGAGACAAGTCACTACTTATTTTTTCAAAATATTCTTGTTATTGCCAACCTTTATTCCACAAGTTAAGCATTGTTATCATTTTACAAAGTTCTTTCCATTGCCCCCTACCCCCACCAAATGCTGTGGGGATTTGGATTGGAATTAATTTTAACAAACAAATTACCTGATTAAAACGGGCAAGTTTTCAATATTCTTTCTTCAGATCAAGAGAATTATCTTTTCTTAAAATTCATCAATCTTGTTTTCTTCATCTGTTTAATTATTGCCTTTTGAACTTATTATATTATGTTGGATCTCCTGAAGCAATCCTTCATGCCTCATCATCTCATTGATCATATTCATCTCTTTGTGCTCTGTCTCCGAATTCTTAGGAAAGATCTCAGGGTAGATCTTCAGTCTAACGCTTGGTTTTCTGAAATATCCCATTTGCTGTTCATTGCCTTACTCATTTTTTAAATTCTCGAATTACAGAGCACACGGGAGTCATGCCCTCAGACGAAAACAGGTCTAAGGACTCTCTGACTGCCAGGTGAATGTTAACCTTCCTGAAGCTGCCCTGGCATAGGTTTAGCAATCCATTGATCCACTCCCTGGATGTGTCTCCACTTAGGAAACTTTGAAAACTTTTCCAAACTCCACTTTTTTCTTCGCTTTCAGACATCTACTTTTGTTCACCAAGAATAAAGCAGTACAGCACTTATGAAAAATAGGATATAGGTATATGTAACATTATTTCCCAAATTTAGAATATAAAATAATTCAGATGTATAGTGATGAGCAGAACAACCAGTCAGCAATCAGTGCTGAATTAGGATCGTTTAGCCTATGCCCACAGTCCTAGAAGCTACCAAATCTCATTGTCTTCTGTTAACACAGCAAGGAAAATACAGCTTCTTAGAACACAGGATTTACTTCTCCAAATTTCAGAGCCCTTCTGCTCTCAGTCATGGTACTAAATTCTTGCAGCAGCCTAGAAGCCCAGAAATCATTGTATGATATAATTAATAGATGCAGGTCATGTTTCCCCTAGTACAACATCACATAAACTACACTTATTTCTTTCAAAAGATCATCAGGACAAAAATGTTAATCACATGTACTTACAAAAAGAGAAAAACACACAGTACTGTCCATAAGTCAGTCTAATTACTATCTCTGTATGATTAATTAATCTCTGAACCTTTGTCATTCATGAGAAACTCCCGCACAGGAATATGTGTCCTATACATCCGTATCTTGCAGATGATTTAAAGATCAGAATAAAAGGGATGCAGGTCTTCTGTGGAAATAGGCCCCTTTGATTTAAGGGCCATATGACTCTTTTCTGAGGACGATGTTTTTTATAATTGAGGAGATTTTTAATTTTACATAATGAAGTTTTTCTTCATTATGACATTGACTCCAAGCAGTACTTCTCTTTGGAGGTCTTAAGTATCTCTGACCATAAAAATATTAACGATCCAACCAAGCAAAATCTATGGTACTTAAGAAGTTCTTTCTCTTTCTCAACTCCAGTCCAGTCTTCACCTGATGTCCTTGTTTATTAGGCTGAAGCTGAGTGAGATCTGGATGGCATGACTAACAGATGTCAGTGCTAAAAAAGACATTAGATGAAATCTAGGTCTACAGCCCCATATCTGACTTCTGTTGACAAAATCCTATCCCATAACTACAACTCAGCTATTGTCCAAAAAGAGTTCTCTCTTTTTTTCGAAGAAGAAGAAGATTAGCCCTGAGCTATCATTCGCCACCAATCCTCCTCCTTTTGCTGATGAAGGTTGTCCCTGGGCTAACATCTGTGCCCACCTTCCTCTACTTTATATGTGGAATGCCTGCCACAGCATTCCTGAGATCTGACCTGGTGAACCCTGGGCCACCGAAGCAGAGTGTGCTAACTTAACCGCTGCGCCACCAGGCCAGCCCCTCCCAAAATGTTCTCTTTCGCCTCCAAGCTCTATAAAGTTAGATTTTACCTGAGGGATATGTCTTAGAAGCAGGAACTTCAAAGTTATAGCACCTACAATTATTCAAAAGGTTTGCTTTAAGATCTTACCACATGAGTACTCGTGGAGATTTTGAATTTTCCCTTTCAAATACAAAGGAAGAAATGTACACAATGCCTTTTACCAGGAAGAATCTCTTCAATATATCTCTTATTTCTATCCTAGGATTATGGATATCAGAATCCTATCAGAAAATAAACAACGGAAATGTGCTTTATGTCCCAGCCTCAACTCTGCGGTATTTCTCTAGGCCTTGTAGTAATTCCAACCAAGCTTACAAGGAAAACAGCCAAATCTATACTTTCTTATGAACTGGAAGTTCGGCTTCTCAAACTGATTTTACCATCTACTTACCATTTGTTAATTATTGGAAAAACAACTTTCTAATGGAGACACGTTTTACTTAAAATACCAAAAATAAGAAAAGTAGCACGAAGACGTTGGAGGTGTCAAAATCAGGCACTAGATCACCTCATCAGCAGAGTGCCAATTTCTGATTCTTTTTTCTAGTTACACAGTGAAGGTGGAGAACAAAGATGACTCTATAGTAATAACAGACTAGGAATTATTTAGGGACCTTTAATGAGCCAACTGCTTGACCAAACCTTTAATATGACAGATATGTTAAGCATTGCTATTACAGCAAATTTCTTTTTGTGTAGAGTTAAAAAATCTTTGATCTGGTATGGTTATTTTTTGCTTTGTACATATCCATAAATGAAGAAATTAATCCATAATTCCCAGAAATGAAAGAATAGGTTCAAAGTGAGAAGAGAACTAATCTAATTAGTCAGGAAATTCATTTTAAAGAGATCTCTCAGTATTGATAGTAATCCATGCCCTACCTAAAATGAGATGCTATGACAAGGTTTGCTGGTCTCCCGGCAGCCTTGACCATTACTGGCATCTCTGGTCCTTGAGGTAGTACATTCTGGGTAGGATGGAATATTGAAGGTGAAGGGTCACACCACCACAACTAGCTACAAAAATACTTTTCGATTGCTTGGCCTATTTATGTATTAGGTCATATCTGATGAAGGATGGAGTTATTGAGTTTCCAGATACTTTTTACGCATTTTCCTGGCCTTGTGCCTGCCATGAGTTTATAAGAAGAGTACAGCAAGTCTAATTCAGCCCACAATTAGGAGAGTTCTAGGTAAATGTTTTAGTTGACATTTCTCCTGCACTGTACATCTGAAGTAAATTCTATAATTAGTAACACTAGGAAAAGATTCTCTTCTTCCATCTGTTTAGGGCATCTTTTATTTCCTTGTTCCTCAGGCTGTAGATCAATGCATTTAGCATGGGAATTATAACAGTGTATAAGACTGATGCCAACTTGTTTTGATTCAGGGAATCACCAGAGTTAGGATACATATAAACAAAGATACCTGAGCCAAAGAAGAGGGTCACTGCTGTCAGGTGAGAACCACAGGTGTTGAAGGCCTTGGACCTGCCTTCAGCTGAAGTGATCTTCAGAATGGTGGCAATAATATAACCATAGGATATCATGATAACCAGGACAGATGTGAGCCCAAAAATCACTGTGATCACAGACGTTATGACTTGAAAGAAAAAGGTGTCAGAGCAGGATAGGATCAGTAGTTGGAGAAGGTCACCGAAGAAATGGTTGATGACATTTGGCCCACAGAAATGGAGCTGAAGTAAAACACACAGCTGGATCAATGAACCAAAGAATCCAGTTATCCAAGATCCTGCCACCATCTTCACACAGAGGGTTGGGGACATGATGGCTGTGGAGAGAAGAGGATTACAAACGGCAGCATAGTGTTCATAAGCCGTGGCTGCCAGGAGACAGCACTCAGTCAGACCCAATCTAGAGAAGAAGTATTGTATTGTGCACTCCATAAAGGAGATGAATTTCTGCTTCTTGAAGAAGTCTGAGAGCATCCTGGGCGCTATAGTGGAAACATAGCAGATGTCCAGCACAGACAGGTTACTGAGGAAAAAGTACATAGGTGTGTGCAGGTGAGAGTCCATCCTGATGAGGGTGATGAGGCCCACATTCCAGGATACTGGCATAAGGTAGATCCCTAGGAATATTGAAAAGAGGACAACGGTGAGCTTTGGAAATTCAGAGAATCCTAAGAGAATGAACTTTGTAATTGTACCATTCCTTCTTCCAGCCATTGCATTGGTGATCCTACAATCTGTAGGGGAAAAAGAGAATAAATATCTGTCAGCTGTTATCCCAATTTCTATGGAAATAGACCACCTCCTACCCACACTGAACAGAGAACCAAGAGAAATACTGAGTCATTTTAGGAGAAATAACCCTGATTAACTTTGTCCTTAAATAGCTACAATGGTTTTGTGTATCAAGTTTTCCACATGTAAAAGGAAATAATTACAGTTTTCATTGTTAATCCCTCAGGCTCTAACAAGCACAAAAGAAAGTACAGTAACATTTGGAAAGCCTTCTTAAAAGATGTTTTAGAAATTTTAGGATATTATTAATAGGATTATAACCTCTGTTTATAGCTTAGTGACCAAGAACATGTCCTTAGATGTCACATAGCTGTTTTTGGATTCTGGCTCTGCTGTGAGCTTTATGACTCTGAACAGTTTGTCTGTTATCTTTCTGCCTAAATTACTTCATCTGTAAAATAGGGAAAACAGAACTTATCTCATAGGGCCTATTTGAAGCTAAATTAGTTCAGCTATATACAGTGTCTGTCATGCATATAATAAGTATTGTATGAAGTGGTGTCACTAGGGAATATCTTTCTAATACAGTTTTGAAGCAATCTTTTGGTGTGTGAAAAACTTTTAAAGTTTAAGTTTTGAAGGGTTGGTCATACAGATAATAATCTCTATCTACAATGTGATTAAATTAGAAATCAATAGCAAATTGGTAATTAAAGCAACATCATAATTGGAAACTATGTATTTCTGTACTATTCAGAAGTCAAATAATAAATTACAATAGAAAACATTTGCAATTTAAATATAATGAAAAATACTATTTATAAAATCTTGTGGATTTTTAAATTGAAATATAACATTGTGAATGTTTAAGGTGTGTGATGTATTGATTTGATACCTTTGTACATTGCAATATGATTGCCGTCACAAATCTAGCTAATACCTCAATAACGCCCCACAACTATTGTTTCTTTTTTGTGATGAGATATTTAACAAATCTTGTGGATTTAACTGAAGATGTAGTTAGAGAGATATAATTAAATGCATATAAAAGATGAAAGATTGAAACCAAACGCTCTGACCATAACTCTTAGACAATTAGGAAAGAACAAAAAAGTTTTAAAAATAAGTATAAAAATTTAAAAGTAATTCAAGAAAATCAAAAGTTGATTCTTTTTTTTTTTATAGATTGGCACCTGAGCTAACAACTGTTGCCAATCTTCCTTTTTTTTTCTGCTTTTTCTCCCAAAATCCCCCCAATGCATAGTTGTATATTTTAGTTGTGGGTTCTTCTAGTTGTGCATGTGGGATGTCGCCTCAGCGTGGACTGACGAGCGGTGCCATGTCTGCATCCAGGATCCAAACCAGCGAAACCCTGGGCTGCTGAAGCGGAGCACGTGAACTTAACCACTGGGCCACGGAGGGATTCTTGACATATCTAGTGACCAAGCAAAATACGATTTTATTTTCAAAGATTTTATTTTTTTCCTTTTTCTCCCCAAAGCCCCCCGGTACATAGTTGTATATTCTTCATTGTGGGTCTTTCTACTTGTGGCTTGTGGGACGCTGCCTCAGCCTGGTTTGATGAGCAGTGCCATGTCCACACCCAGGATTCGAACCAACAAAACACTGGGCCGCCTGCAGTGGAGCAATCAAACTTAACCACTCGGCCACGGGGCCAGCCTCTGCAAAAAACAATTTTTTGCAGAATGGAAAAGGAAACGTAATTCTAGATCCTGGAGATGTTACAAAGGTAATAAGAGGATACTCTAAACAATTTCATGTCAATAAATTTTGAAACAAATAAAATGTACAAGCTTCTAGAAAAATGTAACTTACCAAAACTGACTCAAGTAGGAATAGAAAATTGGAATATTCTATAAACACTAAAATATTGACTCAATAGTAATAATTTTCCCGTGAAGAAAACTCTAAGCCCAAATTGTTTTATCAGCAAGTTGGACTAAGAATTAAAGGAAAACAATAGTCCCAATCATACACAAAACTTTCCAGAGAATGGAAATTTGGAGCAATTTCCAACTCATTTTGTGGGACTATCACAACTTAATACCAAAACCTGACAAGGATAGAATAATAAAGGAAATAACAGCTGTACTCACTTAGGAACATAGATTAGAAACATCTAAAACAAAATTTTGGCAAACTGAATCCAATAGTATATAAAAATAATACATCATGAACAAGTTCCAGAAAAGCAAGGTTGGTTTAGTGCTAGAAAGTCAGTTAATGTAATTCATCACATTAAAAGATTAAGGAAGAAAGTAATATAATCACCTAAGTAGATAAACCCAAAAGAAACAACATAACAATTATTAACATTAATAATTATTCCCAGATGGTCTGAATGTCTATGTAGAAAATCCAAAAGAATATGCTGATAAATCATTAGAATTAATGAGAGTTTAGCGAAATCAACACATACAAAAAATATTGTTCAAAATCACTTTAATGTTTAAACTCCAGCAAAAATGGCTGGAGATTTTAAGAAAAAGATACCATTTTAAATAATACCCAAACCACGAACATGGTTTAATCTTTCCATTTATTTAGGTATTCTTTGACATTTTCATAGAGGTTTATAATTTTGTCCATCTGGATGTTTCCTATCTTTTGTCAAATTTATTCCTGGACATTTAGCTCACTGATTCTTAAAGTTCTTCATATTTCAGGATTTGGGGTAAGGGGTGAGCTTATTCACTTGTATGTAGTAATATTTAAGTACTAACTAGACCCTTAAATGAATTTAATCAGAAATGAGGCTACAAATTGTGAAATAAATGTTGATTCTTATTGAAATCTTTAGGCATTATGAAATGAGGTTTGCTAATTTTATCATAAAAAGAGCTTGCAAATTGCCAGTCTTTGAACATCAAACAGACAAATCAACTGTAACTTTTAGGGTACAGTATTGTAAATGTCTACCCTTTTGTTTATCTCTGTCTTCATTAATAATAATAGTAATAATAATAATAAAAAGACATATTGAGCACTTATGTCCTAGTCATTCTTCTAATACATATATTAACTCATTTACTACTCACAACAACCCTATTTTAATATAAGGCACATGAAGTTAGGGAATTTGCCCAAAGTTCCAATGAAATAAGTGGCAGACTTGGGAACCCACTTAGGTAGCCTGGCTCCAGGGTTGGGCATTTAACAATTACATTGTTCTGCAAGTTTACATTAGAAGTTTATGTCTCTTTCATATTTATTTTCCTAGTCATTAGCATTTACCATTTAATTAGATTTATAAGTCATTTACAGTTTGAAGATTATTTTTAAAGGACTGTATAAACAAGTCAGAGTAGGTAGGGTCAAAAGGTCACATTGGCTCAGCGTCAATTGTAGCTAGAGTAAGTCGCCCTCACATCAATTATTATGATTAATATCCTCCAGGTCTGCAAAGATAGTAATTGAAAACAATTTTTAATATTTCAAAAAGCTATTAAAATTGTATATTTATGCAAAATAATACCATCAACTTGCTTTAGAGAGAAAATTACATCAATTCCTTCTGGCTACTCTATTTCAGACTAAGCAAAAGTTTCAACAGTTTCTGATGAATATATAGTTGTCCCTCGGTATGCCTTGGGGATTGGTTCCAGGAGCCCTGCAGATATGAAAATCTGTGGGTCCTCAACTCCCTTATATATAAATGGCATAGTGTTTGCATACAACATAACACACATCCTCCTGTGTACTTTATATCATTTCTAGATTATTTATAATACCTAATACAAGGTAAATGTTATGTAAACAATTGTTATATTGTTTAGGGAATAATGACAAGAAAAAACAGTCTGTATATATTCAGTACAGCAACAGCTCATCATAGGCCTTTTGCCTCTGGCTGGTTGATGTGAGACGTAGAACCTGAGGATACAGAGGGCCCATTGTAAATAGGAAATTAAATTAATTACTGAGAAGTGGAATATATTGGGCTTCACCATTTGTCAACTTCATGATTTTTGGCGAATCACTTCATCTTTATGTGCCTCCATTTGTTCATCAGTAAGGGAGGAATGATCATTAACTTCACAGGGTTGTTGTGAAGACCCATTTAATTATGGTATGTACAGTGTGTGATAGAGTGCTGGTCACATAGTAAGCTCTCAAAAAAATGGGAGTTTTATATTAATAATGAATAATAATAATGATTATATCATAAAAGTATTTTGCTAACTAAAAATCTTTTAGAGGGAAAAAATGGCATTATTTGGTGGTAAAAAGTGGGGACTCCTTGGCCCAAATGGTGAACCGTTAGAAAACCTCCATGTCCTCCATTCCTCACTCTACCTGCTTGCTAATGCCTGAAATTCCACATTAGATGTTTTTGTTTGGGTTCAAATACCTTGGTTTTTGTTAGAATTCAAATATTCCCTTTGGAATAGAGGATAAGGAGAATGGTAATTGAGAGAAAATAAAAAAGTAAAAATAGTTGTTGAAACTGGATGCGTGAGGACTCTGGGTTGAATGCATAGGAGAGCAAGGTTGCAAGAAGAAGAAAGAAAGCAGATTGTCCTATTTCAGTTCTACCCACCCAGATGTTCTTGAATATATTCTTACAGGTGTGTCTTGGTGAAATCTGGGAGGTGTTGCTGCCACAACTGCTTTCTCTGGACCTGTATCTTGACCATACTCTAGATGCCCAGATGTGCATAGCATTCTTTCAGGAATTATAGGACACAAACATCATACTATAAGCATTCAGGATGGAGATATTTACTTCCCCTAGGCTCTGCTTTCAGCCATGGCTCCTACTAGCAGGTTGCTACAAGAGAGATACTTTCAACCAAAGATTCTCTTAAATTTTTCCTTATGGTCCAGTGTGGACAGAGAAGAGGCAATTAACAAAAGGCATCATTTTCAGTTAATTATTCTCTCGAGTCATAGATGGAGAAAAACAATGAAGAGTTACTCCCCGCTGATTCCATTTCTCTGCACTATCCTGTGCCCCTCAT